ACTTATTTTACAATTTCAAACAATATAAATCTTCAACTACAAGTCTTAATTAAGTTTATTTCTTTATGATCGAAACAGTTTATGCACTACCACAATGCAAAATTTCATTGTAACACTCTATTTCGGACCGATTTGTTAACATCAGAATGATATTAAACACAACATATTTAATTAAATAAAACACAGAAACTATACTTAATGATTCACAAATAGACTGATATAAAAACGTGAATAAACTTTTTCTTTTAGTTTTTCATTTATTACAATTATTGAATTCCGTATTCAATTCTAGCAAATACTCTAATTATAATTCTTATATTATTCAGAAACGTCAATCTTTATTTTACAATATCTTATTAGGTAATATCATAACCTAAAAGCATATAGAACATACTCTAAGTCATTCACCATGTAACCACCATAGACTAACATGTTAAAAATCATACTTGGAACTGTACTAGCACTAAATAGCGCGCACATTTTCTAAAGTTGGGACAATAACTATTTACCATAAATTTTGATCTTTTACTATGTTAAACTAGACATCTTGATCTTTTCAACAACATATTATAAGTCTCAATTGAACTTGTATAACTCAAGATACGTTCGTCGCAAGCCAACTGCTTCAAATCAGACTTCCTAAAAATAGGGTAGTGAACTCAAAATTAAACTGGGACTAGACCTCTCATCCAATGACTCTAAGATTTCATAGGGTTGTAGCCCCATGTGTTAACTTCACATAGGTCCAAACCGCATTCAATTTGGAGTTTCCTAGCTCAAGTTATGTCTATTTTACTAAACCATGCTCATCTTGTCCAATTAAGGAAATCCGTTACTAACAGCGAGTAATCGATTACTATTGTGACAACAACCAGAAAATTTTGTTTTAAATTGCATAAATGTTGTATAATTACTTCCGTAGCTCATTATTCATGTAATTGATCATTCACCATAGTTTATACATAAACTTGGTCACTTCAAGGCTCTAAAACTTTAAATTCATCCATGGATTTTCATCAAAGGCTCAATACCATCATTTTACATCATAAACATAAATTGCATTAACATACATAGGATTAATAGAAGTCATACATGGTATAAATTACATTGCCTAGGAACCCATTGCTTAGGCTATACATTACATATTTCATATCTCAAAATAATCAATCCAAATGAACATGACATGATTATATCATTTGGCAGAAGTAATATAAACACATATCTTGCATAAACCTATACATGTTTCTCTAAACATAATATACAAGTCTTATACAAAATAGGCATAGACACTTTCTATGCTCTCTCAAAATATATACTCGTCAGGTGAGACGCATATACATAAATAAGCATCAAAAGTCTAATGTCATGTAAATAGACTCTATCCTGGCTTCTTGCCACGTGATGCTCCAACACCAATAGTACCTATCCCTGAAGTAGGGTCTCCACACGAGATGAGATAAACATCTCAGTAAACTAAGGATCATTGGAGGATTTCTCCTTCCCAGAGTTCACTGCAGGTATATAAGTAGTAAGCAAAGATAATACATAATATATCAATGCAAGTAAATCAATCTCATACAAGCCATCCCTCTATCCAACATGCCATCACTGAGATACTCAAATGGAACTTTCGAAAAGAGTCCTTACGGGCTCACCCCTTTTTAAAAGAAGTCCACGATCCATACCTTAAGAGAATTCCATATGGGCTCACCCCTTCCCAAGATACACTCGAAAAGAGTCCCTACGGGCTCACACTTTTCAGGCCATCAACAAGCAAACATTCTATTTTAAAAGAAGTCCCTACTATTCTCCCCCTCCTAAAGCACTTTTGAAAAGAGTCCCTACGGGCTCACCTCTTTCCAGGCATCAACTAACAAACAATATTCTATTGGCCAGAGAAAACAACTAGTGTACATCACACACAAGGCATTTCACCTCGAATATACATATAATACAAGCATATAAACATACTATGCATTATATCAATTCTTATCGCATTTACATACACCATCATAAAACTACACTCTCACGGAGTTTGGTGAAACAATTGAGGGATAAATCTCAATGTCTGAAAGCTTACCTCAAGTAGCTTCCTACACAATACTTTCTTCAAGCTCATGCTATCTATCTAAGTGTTCACAACACAAGGTCCACATTAGTTTCTCACTAGTAACACCTATAACAAGATACAAGTATGATCACAACACACATCATACTATAATCATTAAGCTACTAATTACCATTTCAACAAAAATTTTAATTTAGTAACTCACCATAATTCTTGAATCACTCAAGAATCAAGAGTAAATTCCATTGATTCCACCCTAGAAACCAAATGAACGGTATCATTATCTAAACACAATAAATCACTGTTACTTGAATCACAAGAAACTACACATTTCAAGTCTAATTTTCTGTTATTATAGTCTTTATAATTATAATTTTTTAATCTTTCAATTCCAAAACGACGTCGTTTTGGAAGTAAATGCAGATAACTTATCTGCAATAACTGCAGAAATATTTTTCTGTTTATAAATATCTAAGATATTTTATTGTAATTATCCAAAATATTTTATTTAAATATCTAAGATATTTTATATTTTATTTATTATTATTATTATATTTTTTAAAATATTACAATGAATTGGAGGAATGTCTCTTTAATGATATATATATATATATATATATATATATATAGGGAGAGGTTATAGTTACTAGCTATTTTTCTTACTACTTGTTACTACCAAATATTAACCGTTGATTTCCGTCAATCTAACGGTTATAATTTATGGGGTCATATTTATTAATTAATTATTATTTTGTAATAAATTATAACCGTTAGATTAACGAAAATCAACAATTAAGATTTAATAGTAACAAGTAGTAATAAAAATAGGTAGTAACTATAACATTTCCTATATATATATTTATATATACATATATATATATATATATATATCTATATATATATAGGAAGGTTATACTTACAACCTATTTTTGTTTACAACTTCTTACAACCTTATCTTAACACAGTTAATTTCCGTCAATCAACGGTTATTATTTTTTAAAATTAAACTCATTAATTAATTATTAATTCACAATAAATGATAACCGTTGATTGGCGAAAATCAACGGTTAAGATATGGTTGTAAGAAGTTGTAAATGAAAATAAATTGTAAGTATAACCTTGCTTATATATATATATGAGGTAGGATCCTTTGACACCGGTGTCAAATTTCAATTTTGACACCTCACCTGAGAGCCGTTAGATCAAAAAAGATAAACGACTCTGATTTGCAAGCATGTGACACCGTTGATCTTTTTTGATCTAACGGCTCTCAGATGAAGTGTCAAAATTGAAATTTGACACCGGTGTCAAAGGATTCTACCTCTATATATATATAGGGTTTAACGGATGTAAAGTGACTGCACCTAAGGATTGGTGCAGTCTTATAAAACTACGTTGTTTTATAATGTAAAAGCATTAAATATGGGAAATAATAATGATACAAAGGTGGAAATAAATATAAAACATTAAATATGGGGAATCTATAATATTTTTATTTTCTACAATTAATTTTAAATGCGAACTTTCTTTATCCCACTCAAAACGACGTAGTTTTTAGGTGACTGCACCAATGCTTATATATAGTCACATTAGAAATCATTTTGTCATATATATATATGGGAAAAATATTTCTCAAGCAGCTTGAGATAAGTTTATCTCCAGCTACTTCAAAACTACGTCGTTTTATTTATTTATTTCCTTATATTAATTGATTCATTTTTGAATGGTTATAATTCTCTTTTTCTCTCTCTTCCTTTATCACCATTGATCCATCTTTGTATGGTTATGATTTACTAGCCGGAAATAAGATTCTCTCAAGCAGCTTGAGAAACGATAAGTCCTATATATATATATATATATATATATATATATGTACGAGAAAATTATTCAACGACGAGTAAAAGAAAACCGTAATCACCCACTGAATGTGAGAGAAACATACTCACCTAACGCTTGAGTTACATGTGCATAAAGAATGAGATTATGTGTGATGAGATTCTAATTATCTCCCTAGGAATGAATAAATGTAACCCTTTATATGACTTTTGAGGCTGGTCCAATGGAATACATTTAACGAGATAAACTGTAAGCTTTAAATAAAAAATGAATTTAGGGAGCGTTTTGGTCGAGGAGAAATTTTTTGAATACTAGGAAAATGTAATTACTAGGGAAATGGTTGGAAAGTGAGTTTGGTAGGAAAATGTAAAAAAAGTTGTTTGGTTGACTGAAATATTACCAGAGAAATTTATTTAAATTTGCAAAATCTATGTTTGGGAGGAATTTCGCACCTGTTTTTCACTTCTCGAGTTATCTCAAAATACCACATCTCAGGTGGTATTCTGTAACAGTGAATTTCATTCAAAAATTAACACAAAAGTCATTTCTCCATCTATCCTATTTGCCTAGTATTTTTTTTAAAAAACCTAAACCAAACGTGGTATTTTCCAATATTCACTTACACTTTTCTATCAATCTCAAAATAAATCTTCTACCAAACACTATGTCAGAGACATGCCAATAACATTTAATAAGTAAAGGGCTTATGTTTTCTTCTGCAGCAGGAATTGAGATTTTTTTCCTGCACTCACAGCAACAGTGCCCATTTGTTTTTTTCTTTTTGTTTTTTTAATTATAAAGTGGGCTCCACATAAAAAATTGTCTCACTCACATAAGATAAGATATTTCGAGCAAAATAAGATAACTATTTCCCGTAAGTAAAACGTAATTTACTTTAAAATAAGTGTGAAAAATGGACTTGTTTGAGAAAAAGGGATCATGTGTTCACTATGATGACGCGTGGATATTGAAGCATTTGGGTTAGGTTAGGATAAAACAAGAAAAAAAAAAAACGTGGTTGTGGTTGAAAATCGCTTACTAGTATTAGTACACCTCTCTCTCTCCATTCTCGCTCATTCATTCATGTGAAGGATCAATCATTAGTGTAATCACAGTGATGCCATTGAAAGTAGTAGTAATTTTGCCAAGTAGAACCAACCCCATAATGTTGATTTTTGTTCTGTATGCAAAGGTTACATAGGATTCACTATCATTACTACCTACTTCAATCATGTCTACACTGCTGAATACGGTGTCTCCAGCTACAAATTTATCAGCAAAAATAAAAAGAAACGGTTATGGTTTCTTGTATTCCCAGGTTACAAATCTTCATACTTTTTCCCTCAACAAGGGTTTTTCTAGTGTTTTGGCTTTGGCCCAGATTACTATTTCTCCAAAAGATTCTGTCTTTACTCTGCCCAATTGGAAAGTTGGGAAGAATGACCAAAAAAGTAAGGAGCTAAGGATTAATGATGCATTTCTTCATTTAGAGTATATGGTGGGTAAGGGCCATAAGCCTGAGGTAACTCAAGCAACTCAGCTTTTGTATGATCTTTGCAAGTCCAATAAAGCAAGGAAAGCTGTTAAGGTGATGGAGATGATGGTAGATTCAGGTATTATACCTGATGCAGCTTCCTACATATACTTGGTCAATTATTTGTGCAAGAGAGGCAATGTTGGGTATGCAATACAATTGGTTGAAAAGATGGAAGGGCATGGCTTTCCAACTAATACTGTTACCTATAACACATTAGTTAAAGGGATTTGCATACATGGGAATTTAAACCATGGCTTGCAGCTTTTAGATAGATTAACAAAGAAGGGCTTGGTCCCAAATGCATTCACATATTCTTTCTTGCTTGGAGCTGCTTATAAGGAAAGGGGTGTAGATGAAGCCATGAATCTTCTAGATGAGATAATTGCCAAAGGTGGGAAGCCTAATTTAGTTAGTTACAATGTGTTGTTAACTGGGTTGTGCAAGGAAGGTAGAACTGAAGAAGCTATTAAGCTTTTCAGGGAATTGCCTGCAAAAGGGTTCAATCCTAGTGTTGTGAGTTATAACATTTTACTAAGGAATTTGTGCTATGAAGAGCAGTGGGAGGAAGCAAATGAACTCTTGGAAGAGATGGATAAAGTTAACTTGTCTCCTTCTGTTGTTACTTACAACATATTAATTACTTCTCTTTCCCTGCATGGAAGAACCAACCAAGCTTTCAAAGTTTTAGATGAAATGACAAGGAGTGGGTTCAAGGTGACTGCTGCAAGCTATAATCCAATTATTGCCCACCTTTGCAAGGAAGGGAAGGTGGATCTTGTTGTTCAGTGTCTAGATCAAATGATTCATCGACACTATAATCCTAATGAAGGAACATACAATGCTATAGCTATGCTTTGTGAGCGAGGGAAGTTGCGGGAAGCTTTCTTTATAATCCAAAGGTTAGGTAGTAAACAAAGCTACCCTATGCATGACTTTTACAAATATGTGATTTCAAGCTTGTGTAGGAAAGGGAACACATATCCAGCTTTTCAGGTATTATATGAAATGGCAAAGTATGGATTTACTCCAGATTCCTATACTTATTCATCTTTGATAAGAGGAATGTGTAGAGAGGGAATGTTAGATGAGGCTATTGAGATATTCAGGATTTTGGAAGAAAATGACTATAGGCCTGATATTGATAACTACAATGCACTAATACTTGGAAATTGCAAATATCAAAGAACAGACTTGTCAATAGAGATACTTCAGATGATGATTCACAAAGGATGTATGCCTAATGAGACAACCTATACCATACTTGTTGAAGGGCTTGCTTGTGAAGAAGAAATGGATATAGCAGCCGAGTTGTTGAAAGAGTTATATGTGAAAGAGGTTGTGAGCCAAAGTACTTTTGAAAGACTTTCTATGCAATACGACTTCAAGGAATAAAAGGGTTAGAGATATATATCTTCAAAAGTATAAAACAAATGAAAGTAAGTAGGGTTATGACTGATGACTACTTTCAGATATGAATGGAGTTTTCTCAACTTAAGTACTTGATATAGATTGTTTTTGGTCAGTGAAACAGAGTTCCCAAATGCTTGAAATTTTGATTGGATTGAATGTTTAGAGATGAATGATGAAAAGGTTCAAGCAGAGAATTTTATTACTGACAGCATTTTCTTCCATGCTTTAAATTTCAACGCTGCTTTTGTGAATGGAGAGATCTTAGTTCTTTAAATAATGTGTACTATTCATTTGTCGATTTGTTGATTTACTACTTGGAACACAAATTTGTTTTGTGTTTGCCAATCTCATTGCTGTGTACTATCATTTACTGCTGTTGTAAATGCTGAAGTCTCGGCAGATTGTTGCTCCCTACTTTCCTTTTCTTCTACGTGCTCTTGAAATATCCTAAGCACTTCTGAGAATAATGTAATGTATATTTGCAGCTAACTTGATAACTTGCACCTCACTGTGACTTAGAATAGCCATCTATTGTAAACAGCAATGCTGCTTATCATTTTAAATTTTCCTCTTTCTTTTGGCACTACATGACGGGGAGAGCTGGTCGTAATTGAGTGATTCAGCAGTAAATGGACACAAGAGTAGGATCCTAACACTGATTGTTATGAAGCACTTTCTGAAATGAAGCATTCGATATGCTGCTTTATCTGCCAGCATTGAGCTGTCCAATGGATGTTGATGACTCGGGTGTTTTCCAACTTAATGAATGATAAATTCAGGTGCAAATTTTATGTTATAAACAAAATGACAGGACAGCTATGCAGCATTTTCTGAGTTGCATAAACTTACATCTGAAATGTTTTACTACATGCTGATGATGGATCAGACGATTGACATGAAACTGAAACTGAAAATGTAAATTTATGTTGCTATGAAAACATTGACATCAATAACTGCGGGCTCATACTGTTTCGTTTTGACATTGTTGCATAACAAGATATATGGACTAGGGTAATAGACCGAAGATAGAAAGCTTGAGATCAATAGGTATTGTATGCATGAACTTCCCTGGCAATTTCCGGTTTATATTACTAAGAAATTTGAATGCCACAAAATCGACTACAATGCTTACTACTTTCTCAGTCAATAGAAGAGATGGTCGTAAACATCGCCCCATTCGAAATTCAACAACACTAACTATAAATGTCGATATAAACTTGTGGCTCGAGGTTCGTGTACATAATCCATTGTATTTTCACCTGAATTTTCAAATTCAAAAGAAAATTTTACATAATCTCACAATTACCATTTTGTTTAATACATTTACTTGATTAGCATATCTTTATTATCATAAAAGATGTTGTACTAAAGTACAGCAAAAGCCTGGTCTTTAAATAACCCAATTAAGCCACAATATCACTACACGCATATTATAGCCTAGCACAAATTGGATTGAATTATGCGCTCTGATGATTAGGGGTCACTTAAAAGCTTATTAAAGGATCAAATTTTGACATAAGTCTCAAAATGCTAATATAATTAAAAGCCATAACAATATAAGTATAGCAAACAAGCACATGTTTGGATACCACAAAATGCCCAACATTACAACTAACCCACACACACAATAGTATCAGTCTAGTACTGCTAAACTGAGTCTAGAAAAAGGCCTCCCGTCACGACAACCAGACCTCAAGATCACTAGGGCCACGACTGCCTAAAACGTCATGAAGCTGGTGTTGCATCAGGATGTAAGGCTCATCTAGCCCATTAACCTACTTAGATCTTTGTCTCATCTTTCGGCGCTTCCTCTTCAACCTCCTCATACGCTTCTTCTTCCACTGATACAAAACAACATTGCGTTGAAACCAATAAGAAAAGGCAAAATAGAAACTCAAGACAACAATCACTACAGAACATAACGTATCAATCATGATATGGAACTTTTTACACTCCTGAAGAAGCAATGTTTATTGACCCTGTACACAAATTTATTCCACCACCTTAAAGAAATGGAGGGCGAGCAGCTTTTTTTTGCCCTAGCGTTAGTGCCACTAGCCCTGCTCAAAGAGTCATATTTTGCTAACTCTGCTTAACACAAATGCAGAACCATTCCATTCAATACATAATTTACAAGTTAGACCAAACCATAGTATTCAAGAAAGTTCGATGCTGACACGAACACTAACTATTGTTCAAAGCCTGACATACTGGAGTCTGGAAGCAATTGTTTAATGATTGATGAACCTAATTTCCTTAAATGTCTGAAACTGACATGAATACTAACTATTGATCAAAGCCTAATATGCTGTAGGCTAATTGTTTAATGACTGATGAACCTAATTTCCTTTTATAAAATCAAACACTTCCACCGGCATCTTAATGATCCCACTATACTATATTCTTATTATTTGGGCTGTAAGAGGATGAACCAGTACCAGTAGCAAAATGGTAAACAGGGTTTCACAGGGAAACATTAGCTATCTCTGGAACAACATTCAATCAAATCTAATCTAATTTTACATTGACCACTTAAGGCACTTCATTATCTCTTATTAAATACATGATCAATTTCCATAAGCAAAATCAACACCACCTCCGTTTCAACACCCAAAATCAAAAAGCGCAACAAATTTCTATAAATCGAAGACAACAACCAACCACAGAAATCATACATACCCCTATTCCTTCAGCAGTTCACATAATCATTTCCATGAAGCAAAATCAAAATTGAAAAAAATCTATATGAATTCTCTTTTTTACCATATCAAACATTAAACAATAGAACGAATCATCCTAATTCCTAAGAACCTGGACCAAAATCAAAATTGTGCTCTGATCCAAAAAAATACTAAACATGTAAAAACATATTAGAAAAGATAAAACTACGATTAAAAAATAAAAGAAAAAAATCAACCAAAAAATTAGATTAAAAAAAAGAAAGAATCAGAGCCTGATAAATGAGGAAAAAGAATATACCTTAGCTCTCATCTTGGATAACGAACGCTCTCAAGCTTCTTTCAACGTTGGCAAATTTTCGCAGAAGAAGGTAACTGAATCTGATGAGGGCAAAACCCTCGTTTGGGTATTTATAGTGCTGCGTTTCGTGAAAATGCGGAACCCTAAATCCTAATATGGGTCGGGTTATGCGGAGGGGCAAGTTTGTAATAATGGAAAATTGTATTTGGGATAAAATATAGGGAGAGAGGAAGTTATAGCAAGACTTAATCTTGTCAAACTCGAGTTTTTACGTAGAAATGGAAAGGGGTAGTAGAAACGTAAAATGTAAAAATGACACGAAACGTAAAATTTTTATATTATACTACTTAAGATCAAGATATAAAATTATATATATACATGTAAAAAAATATCACATAATAAAGATGTGTGTTGAGTCACTTATCTATCTAAAAAGGAAAATTATTTTTGATAACCAAATATCAAAATTATAAACAGAGATAACTAACAAGTAATGGATAACCAATTTGTTCTAACTGCTTCATACACTCTGCAATTTTGGATAATCGCTCATCAGGATATAATTTCACTTCTTTCAATGCACATAATGATTCAAAAACACAAAACAATTCTCATAGCATAACTTATAATAGAATTGCAGTTTTATAAGACATAATTATAAAAGACATATATCCAAACAAAAAGATATGAAGATATGTGCATATGATTTGAGGAAAACGAACATTGATTTTTTTTTAATTTCATTTTAAAAAAAAAAATTGTTTTAAAAGTAAAAACGGTTAAAACGGTACAAACGTAAGTTTTTGCCGTTTTTACACTGCGCTTTTACCAGTTTTTATCAAGGACCATTTTTACTTGCGTTTTAACACGCACCACTCTGGTAAAAACGTAACTAGTTTTTGACAACAATGGGAACAGTGACCAAAATGCCACATTTTGCCAAATTTTTATGCAAATGCCACTAGGCCCACTAGGGGTGGCAATTTGGGTTGACCCGTCTCGTCCCGCCCCGCCATCAACTCGCCAAAAACAGGACGGGACGGGGCGGATTGACCCGCCAAAAAATGGGTTGGAAAAACGAACTCATCCCGTTTTATGGTGGATTGGCGGGTTAGCGGGTCAACCCACCAACCCTCCAATTAAAAAAAATTAATTAAAAATCAAAAATAAATTATATTTTAAGAATTTTTCTAATATTATTTTATTTTATTTCACACTTCTCTATATTTGTTTAGTCTCAATCTTAAATGTATACTAATATTTGTCAAACATTATTTAGGAACTTATATATAGATAACATTTGTCATAAATAAAATTGTTATTCTTTATTTTTTTTCTAGGAAATATTAAGATAAAATTTTTTTGGATATCACAAAAATTTAAGGACTAATGAAATACTACCTAATTGTAAAAAAAAAAAGTATAACCCGGCGGGTCAACCCGCCCCGCGACGGGTTGAACCCGTTTTGACCCACTTCTAGGCGGGGTGGGTTGGTAGGTTGAAAACCTCAACCCAACCCGCCCCGTTTTGGCGGGTTGGCGGGTTGACCCGTCGGGCTCAACCCATATTGCCACATTTAAATGCCACGCAAATAGTATTTTTTATCATACTGCCACATGTCATAATTCGCTATCGCTCATAGCGAATTTCGTGGTCAATAATTTCGTGACACGTGGCCATATTGCAAACTAAATTCGCTACCAGTGGTAGCGAATTATGACACGTCAGCTTTTTCAAGAGAAAGTGTGTCACGTTTCAAAAAATCATTGGCGAACATAATTTGCTACCAGTCGTAGCGAATTATGCTTACGTGGTAGTCTGGTAAAAAGTACTGTTCGCGTGGCATTTGTATATATTTTTTGTCAAAAGGTGGCATTTTGGTCACTGTTCCGAAGTTATACTTATTACCTTTTTTTCTTATTATCTCTTATTACTAAATTTTAACCGTCGATTTTTGTCAATCTAACAATTATAATTTATTGGGTCACACTTATTAATTAATTATTAAATTCTAATAAATTATAACCGTTAGATTGATAAAAATTTTATGGAATTGGTGTTTGTCCTTTTAAAGAACATAAAATTATATTATTTTAAGTGAGAGAAAAAGATATAAATTATAAATAAAAATTTGATTTTAATTAAAATGATCATCCTTGGACAATCATTTTTCCTTTTTTTTGTTAACCGATTTAATTCCGTTCGAATATCATTAGGGCATATTTGATGCACAATATAGGATTAATAAGACTTGATTATTTTTTATTTTTTTTTTGATAACAGACTTGATTAAATTTTAATACTATTCAGAGTTTGACATGATATTAAATAAGATAATGTATTGTATAAGATAATATCATTCAATGTTTGATAATGCACTTTTATAATACTAGATAGGATAAAAATAGATATTTTTGACAAAAATATCTTTTAAAAAAGAATTTATATAATTCTTCCAAATATGTCATGCGATATTAATTTTTATAAAAATCTATTAATTAGTGTGTGAAAAAAAAAGATATTAGTTTTTAGAAAATAAAATTTCCAAAGTTTAAAAAATTATTATAATTAAATTTTATTTTTATTTTGATATATTAATATTAAAATACTTTATTAATTCTTGAGAATTGCACTGGTCAGCATTCTTAATACATCAACCTCTTATCAGGCCTAATCATACCCCTTAGGGCATGTTTGGCACACAATATTATATAAGGTGTAATAGTATAAGGTCTGATTGTATAAGACCTGATTAAATTTTAATATTATCCAGCATTTGATATAGTATTATATAAGATAATATATTGTATAAGATAATATCATCCAGTTTTGATAATGCATTGTATAATATTATATAGGATAAAAATAAATATTTTTGACAAAAATACCTTTTAATAAAGAATTTAATAATTCTTCCAAATATGTTATATTATGTTATTTTTATAGAAATCTATTGATCAGTGTGTCCAAAAAATATATTATTTTTTATAAAATAAAAATCTCCAATATTATAAAAAATTATATATTAAAATACTATTTTATTTAATATGTTAATATAAAAATAATATATTAATTATTGAGAATTGCACTGGTTAATACATCAACTCTTTATCAGGCCTAATCTCATCTCCCTAGGCATGATTAAGTTATACATCATTTTGATGTATTAAGGGGTTCTGCTGTATAAGTTTATACTATACGATGGTCACACCAAACACCTGAAAATGTCATAAATGTATAGTATAAGCTTATACTGTCAAGCCTTATTCATAACATCAAACAGGCCCTTAGGCCCAATTAAGTTATACATCATTTTGATGTACTGAGGGGTTATGTTATACAAGCTTGTATTATGCGATGGTCACACCAAACAATGAAAAATGTCATAACATATACTATAAGCTTATATTATCAAGCATTATACATAAAGGGCATGTTTGGTGCATAGTATAGGATAAAGCCTGATTAAATTTTAATAATATCCAACGTTTGGTATGGTATTGTATAAGATAATATCCTCCAATATTTTAAAAATTAATAATATTAAAAAAATTATTTTAATATATTAATATTGAAATGATATATTAATTTTTGAGAATTGTACTTGTAGACAATACTAATATATCAACCCCTTATAAGGCCTAATCTCACCCCCTTAGGCTTGATTAAGTTATACATCATTCTAATGTATTAAGGGGTTTTGTTGTATAAGTTTATACTATACGATAGTCACACCAAACAACTGAAAATGTCATAACGTATAGTATAAGCTTATACTATCAAGCCTTATACATCACACCAAACAGGCCCTCAGGGCATGTTTGGTGCATAGTATAGGATAAGGCCTGATAGTATAAGACCTGATAGTATAAGGCCTGATTGTATAAGACTTGATTGAATTTTAATACTATACAGCGTTTGGCATGACATTGTATAAAAAATATATTGTATAAGATAATATCATGTAGTATTTGGTAATGCACTGTATAATACTATATAGGATAAAATTAATTATTTTAATAAAAATATCTTTTAATAAAGAATTTATATAATTCTTCAAAAAATAGCATATGATATTAATTTCTATAAAAATCTATTGATCAGTGTGTCCAAAAAATAAATTATTTTTTATAAAAATAAAAATATTCAATATTTTAAAATTTAATATATTGAAAAATTAATTTTTATTTTAATATATTAATATTGAATAATATATTAATTTTTGAGAATTGCACTATTCAACGATGTTAATACACTAATCCCTCGTCAGGCCTAATCCCTTCCCCTTAGGTCGAATTAAGTTATACATCGTTTTGATGTATTAAGGGATTCTGTTGTATAAGCTTATACTATACGATGTTAAACCAAACAACTGAAAATGTCATAACGTATAGTATAAGCTTATACTATCAGGCCTTATACGTCACACCAAACATGCCCTTAGGCCTAATTAATTTATACATCATTTTAATGTATTAAGGGATTCTATTATATAAGCTTGTATTATGCGATAGTCACATCAAACAACTAAAAATGTCATAATGTATAATATAAATTTATACTATCAGGCCTTATACATCACACTAAATAGACCCTTAAAACTGTGTTGGATGTGTTTCTCCCCATATTGTTTTGTGCATTTCCGATATTCAAAAATTAATCTTTTAGTTTATTTTATCTTTAAAATTTCTCCATTATTTCATCAATTAATGAGTTAATTCAGTCAAGTTGGGTAAAATTACAAGGGTGATAAAGTTTTTCTTATCAAATTTTTTTCACAATTTCATACATAGAACTCAAATTCCAGACTATTAATCAAATATTAATTGATCCATGTACTTAGTTGTTATTATCATTTATTTCTTATTACATGGTGTTGGTGTTTAGGGACAAAATATAAATAAAATTACTTAAGTACTTGTAATATTGTTATTTAATAAAAATATGAATTTTTGTATTATATTTATATTTTAAATGTGATAATTTTTTTTAAAAATATTAATATAATTAAAAAAATTACCTATGTTATTTTTTTTTGGTAGGCCTTGTATGTTATGCTTTTATTAGTAAACGATGTTGCAAAAAATTAAGAAACTTTATGTAAATTTTGTTTAAATTGAAATTATTAGAGGACCACAGTATAACTCATAAAAGGATTAAAATTATATTTTAAAATAATTTAAAAACTTGAAGAATTTTGAACGGTTTTTTAAAAAAGTTCGGGGGGGTGATGATGAGTTGATGACCCTATTGGCTTAGGAATAATTCCATTCTTATGAAAAGATGAGTTTATTAAATATTAATGTAATTGTACCCAAAAAAAAAAAATACTTAGCTTAGGTAAAATATTATTTTATAATGTATGCTTTCATCTTCTATTTGAAATTAAAATATTAACCAAATTTGACTTTTTGACCCTTTTACCCTTCGTTATTTAAAAAATAATTATTTTGCTTCCACATAAAATATTCCACCAACTTGCCTCTCCTTAATCGATTACAACACTAGACTTAATCGATTACACAGTCAAAATACATATAAAACCTTGACCCCGTGGTTAATCGATTAAGTCATCATTGCTTAATCGATTAAACAATGCTAGGAACATTTTTTTGAACCCCCGTTATTTAATGGATTAAGCAACGGTGGCTTAATCGATTAAACCACGCCAGCAACTTTTTTAAAAAACCCTCATTTGACAAGGGGTTGTAATTGATTATAACTAAACCCTAAGCCCTCATTCATGATTTTGCCCAAAATATTCCTCCAATCGTTCGGTGGGTTCACAAAACAACATCAATCGCTCATTTCTCCTACATATTGGTATGTATTCATCGGTTTACACCGCAATTTTCTTCCTTTTTGTGATTTATGAACCTAGTTTTTCTCAACATTGTTTGGTTTGATTGGCTTGTGTTTTTTATTTTGATTATTTGGCTTGATGGTTGTTTAATTTAGGTTTAGGGTTATGTATGTAGTTTAGGGTTTAGGTTGCATAGTTTTTTTTTAACCCATAAATTTGATTTCTATTTTTTGTTTTTGTTTTTTTTATTATGATTATGTTTGTTTTTTGTTTGTTGATAAATTATCCTGTATTATTGTAGGTTTTCGTTATTGTTATGGCTGCCCGCAAACGATCAAGGAACACTGATGGCGAAAGACGGTCGAAGCAATGCCAGGACTGTCCTTCTTCTTCAAGGCCACATAAGCCTAATACTGAGTCTGGGGACCTCCTATTTGGGTATTTGCTTGAAGATGACCCTTCGGAGCATGCTGCATTTATGTCATTTTAAGAGAGAGTATTTTATTTAAAATTCAAATTAAAAAAAAACCACACACTTTCTCTCTCCCATTATTTCTATTTTTTTGTGTCTATCTTTATCCTAAAATGACATAACTTATGTCATTTAAAATGACAAACACAAAACTCTTCAAATAAAGTATTTAACCTTTTTTCATAGATTCATCATTTTTCGTTATTCAAAGACACAATGACAGCAAGCGGAACAGTGACCATTTTGTCACGCCTGGCCAAAATATTTACCAGACTGCCACGCCAACAATAAATTTTCCCAGAATGCCACGCGGCATAATTCGCTACACTGTGCAACGAAATATGTTTGCAAATAATTCGCTACACAGTGTAGCGAATTATGCCATGTCAGACTGCACAGTCAGCAAAAATGACACGTGTCAAACAGGCAGTCATCCAAGCAGACAGTGTAGCGAATTACCGCCTGTTTGACACATGTCATTTTTGCTGACTGTGCAGCCTGACATGGCATAATTCGCTACACTGTGGAGCGAATTATTTGCAAATATATTTCGCTGCATAGTGGAGTGAATTATGTCGCGTGGCATTCTGGGAAAATTTACTGTTGGTGTGGCAGTCTGGTAAATATTTTGGTCAGGCGTGCAAAATGGTCACTGTCCCACAGCAAGCTAGATGCATGTAGAGAAATACAACAACATTAATAGTCACTAACATGCTTGTAAAGATTATAAATTCTCAAAAATAAAATACTGCCAAATTATTAGGGGTGTTCGCGGTCTGGATTGGATCGGTTTTGGAAGCAAAAATCATCTGATCCAATCACTTCGGTTTGATCATATAATTATCCATTCGGTTTGAATTTTTTTTCAAATCCGATCCGATCCAATCCAATTTTTTTTGGTTTGGATTGGATCGGTTTTCAGTTTTTTGAAAATTCTAAAATTTATTTCATGATTATTGTGCAAATAACATCTTTTGTATATATTGGCTTTGTAAAAAAAAAAAATTGAAATACAAAAACATTAGTAAACTGTAATATGGTTTTTTTTTTTGGCAATGAGATATGAAGCTCTACAAAAACAAAATTTTGTTGATGAGATGAGACTAGATTTTTTCTTGAGTTTAGTTGATGGTTTAATGGGTCTTGGATTTAGAAATTTGTAAGTTATGATTAGGGAAAGACCCAAGTAGGTAGAGGGGAATTAATATATTGGATCGGTTTGGATTGGATCGGTTTTCATCAACCCATCCAAAAACCGATCCAATCCAATTAAAATTTGCGATTTTTTTCGATTTTTGATTTTTCGATTTTCGGTTACCGGTATTTCGGTTTTTGATTTTTCGATTTTCAGTTATCGGTTTTTCGGTTCGGTCACCGCGGTTTGAATTGGTTTGGATCGGTTGATGAACGCCCCTAGAAATTATAACAAAAAATTGCAAATTTAGACTTATAAAACTAACTAAGCAAAACATGTTTAGTGAATCAATAATTATTGAAAATGGATCTCTTATATCATAAAAATAAACATATGGTCCCTTTGATTTTATTTTTATTTTTTTTTATAAAAGAAAGGCGCCATGTATTTATCTATATAACATAAATAAGATGTCTCCAATGAAATTAGGGAAAAGTTCACGAAATGCCCCCATGGTTTACTCCAGAATCACTTATGCTCATGTGATTTTTTTTCGATCACATATGCCCTGTGCTTTGTAAAAACTAAGAAACCACATGAGCATATTTGATAAAAAACATACTCTTTTACAAATCACAGGGGCATATGTGATAAAAAAAATCAAAGGGACATAAGTGATTATGAAGTAAACCACAGGGACATTGGTGAACTTTTCCCGTGAAATTATTAGCCAATTAATATAAGTTCATAATTAGAAAATCACACATCATTAATTAATGTAAAATAATATAAAACAAAAGTAATGTGCAAAGCTGGTTAAGGTCATGAGCTACTACTACTCTCCTCACAGTCGCAGCATAATTTTACCACCATAACTTCCGCCGCAAAATCACTCACCACCACCTTCTCCGCCGCGATGAAACCTCTTCCGTGAACGTGTGTGGAAGAAAGCTTTAGATTTTCCCCCCGACAATGGAAACTTCGGAAAACGACAGCGTCGTTGATCGAACGGAACCTTCGAATTCCCACGCCGGCGAGAACGCCGATGATCCCCTCTTGAAGAGCTCCGAAGTTTTGGCCAAAGGCTTGTCATCGATTCTTTCAACTGTGATTAGGGATTTCGATTGCAGAGCTCAAGAAACTCTCAGGAGCCAGGACCACCTCTCTTCCGCCATTGATCGTCTCACCCGAGGTCACGTTACGTTACTTTTGCTTATTCCATTTTTTCTTCTGCAGTGATTGTCCTACATTATTCTAGATTTTGAATATTAGTAACTGTGCTATTTGTTTTTGAAAAACTTAAATACCTACTTTATATTCTCAAATACCTAAATTAGACTCAATTTATATGTCTTATGTTAGCAAGGAGTTAATTTTTTATTTTTTTTTGTTTTCCATTTTGTTATTATTATTTGTTCAGTCTGAATTACCTGGACTGGTTATGGTAGATCTTGGGACTCTCACGCTCAAGTTAGTAAATGAATGAATGGTGAATGTGAATAGTAAGATGCGTACCTGAAAGTTTGGAGAGGTATTTATAGAAGAGGTCAACTGCCCGCTTGTGCCTAGGTTGTGTAAGACTCGGCTTTGGTCTAAATAGACCAGACCTATGCAAAGTATTTTGAGTCTGGTCTAGCTTATTAGCTTAGTATAAGTTATATTATAGACCTAGTTTGATTTATATTAAAAACTCAAAATGTTTTCCTATTAACCTATTTAAGTCTATCAAGCTTTTAATACTTCTCAAGAATTACAAAAAATAAATAAAATAATATTATTTTATTAACTAAAATTATTTAAGTATTTATTTTAATTAAAAAGATAATGCGGTATAAGCTGGCTTGTAGGCTTGTAAATGGTTTATGGCTTTTCTCTAAATGGTCCTTTTGTACGGCTTGAACCTGTTCTACCCCGCCCTAACGTAGGCTAGGATGTAGGTTCCTCATAGGTCGTCTGACCCATTTGCACCCCTACCTATGAGTCTATCTGAGTGGATGTTACGTAGGTTATGAGGAGTAACTTGTCATGGAAACTTTGTCGTGGTAATGGGATGTGCGCTCATACCAGGCGGACGTTCGAGGTGCTAGGTGATGGGATGTTACCTGCATGGTAGCCGGAGTGTTAGATTATAGAGCTGATGGAGGTTGGGATGTTTTGGCGGTTGGCTGCTCAGCCATACCACTAGACTGTTACATTATATCATTATTATTATTGGAGAAATTTTCTGTCCTTTATACCACTATTAACATGTTTTGTTTTTAAGAGTGAGTTATGGTTTTTGAAATTTGACAAAGTTTCATAGTGGACATAGGCTTAGTTTACCTAGGGAAGGGAGATCCATGTCAAATTCCTGATATGAATTTGCATGTGCACAGGTAGGCAATCAGGTCCTATGTGTTATAGATTTGTTTTTCTTGTTACAGTACAGTAAGGAGTTGTTATTGGGTTAAGAGAGAAACAGTAGGTTCCTACTACTTTGCCTGTGGTACCTAGCTTTATCCCTAGCAGATGCTTTGGAAACAGCTTGAACCCAAGCTTTGAGTGAGAAAAGTAGGCACCTTTACTACTTGGTCACAAGCTTTATTTTAGAAACTCAGAAAAGGCATAAGGAGACGAGACATTATTTGTTATTCTATATGTACTGAGAAGAAAGAAGAATGAGTAATTCATGAAGATGCATTGTCTTAATGTACTCGAGGTGCACAAGGGTGTACAAAGTTTTGATTTCTATGGTTAGAGCTTTTTGTTCTTCTCACAAGCATTTGAAGATGGATTCCGTGGCAGGAAAGTAAAAGTTGGGAAGGAAGTTGCTGTACCATTGGACAAGTAGCAGTTAGTGTTGGCTTTCTTGAAGATTTGGTTACTTTGTTAATGCTAATTTAAGGTTAAAGAAGTTAAGCTTTAGTTGCTATAGACTTGCTTTTCCCTTTCTTTTCCTCTTTATGATTTTTCAACCTTAAGAAAGACAAAGCTGGAAATAATGATACGATTCACTCAACTCGGAATAGGTTTTATTTTATATTGCTGCCAGATAAAATTATTAGCAGCTTTAAATTAGCGTTTGCAATTGATATTTTGGTATTAATTTGGTACGATACCTGTTGAGATATATAGTCTCACATTGGTTGTATGTGCAACTAATGTGGAGTTTATAAGGCCTTGGGCACTCCCACCCTTTGAGCTAGCTTTTGGGGTAATGTATCCCAAGGTTCTTTACATGGTATCAGAGTCTCGCCGCCCCCCACTTTCTCTTGTGGCGTTTCTTAGCACAGGTAGGCTGGGCCTGTTGCATTGTCCACTCTTCAAGCCCAATGGGCTCTCGTGTGAGGGGGCGTGTTGAGATATATAGTCTCACATTGGTTGTATGTGCAACTAATGTGGAGTTTATAAGGCCTTGGGCACTTCCACCCTTTGTGCTAGCTTTTGGGGTGGTGTATCCCAAGGTTCTTTACAATACCTTTGGCTTAACCCTCATAATAAAACTCGTATATTGGAATAGGTAAGTAATTTTGGCAAGTTATATGGTCCAGATGAGTAAGTTCTATGAGGGATCCATTTCTTCGCCTTCGGGATCCATATCTATGGGTGGAACTCGCCTTTGCCGGCCAGCCTGCCATGTCTCTTCAGCCTGCGTCATAGTTCTTTCCCGCATTCTCATTGTCACCACTACCACACCACCTGCGGATTTCCTGCTCTGGACCACCCCACATTCTCTCAACTGCCACCGGACCAATACAAAAGGCTGGTACATTGTCAGGAGGGACACATATGCATACATCGGAGCACTCGTTGTTTTCCACCATCCAGAGCATTCTCACTTTCCTCAAGTGCACACGCCCACACACACCCTTGATTACTTCTATCGGACTATTGGTTGGAGATACTGACTCACCATTATCAGACATCTCTACCACTCATCCGTAGATAGAAACACCAGCTTCTACTAGGTAGATGTTACCGGTTCAACCCAATTGAACAGGAGTGTTTTACAAAGAAGTGTGAATATTAATTGGAACTAAAACCTTGGTTTAACCATTTTATTCAAAACACATGAACACATTTAATTCCATCTCAGTGAAATAAGGAAGTTAAATCGGCAACTATAAGGTCTAGCATGAGAGATGCATTTCTTATCCTTCAGTGAATAGTGTTTTACCATGAAGTTTGAATTCTGCGACCAGAAGTTTGTTGCACCATAAAGCCAATTAGATTGGAGCACCGGTAAAGTTGCTCCTTTGTGATTGAAAGGTCACGGATTTGAATTCAGGAATAGTCTCTTTGCAAAAAAGCAAAGTTATGGCTGCATACAGGATTTCTCTCATCCTTACCCTATCTAGTCAGGATTTCTTGGAGAGTGGTTTTTATATTCCACATACTAAAAGAAAAAATAATAATACTACACTCCTCCTTAGACAACTAACCTATTCAGGTTCTCTGGCAATCTGCTCTGCATGGAGTCTTCATTGGCATGTCAAAATTGCAGCTGTAGTTTATGGGTTTCCTTTGCTATACTTTCAGTTCAGTTATGCTTAATGATAATGCCTCTGCTACTGCCTACTGCTTCTTCTATTACTCTATGATGTCATAATTTCTTAATACTCTATATCTATAATTTGCTAACTTGAAATTTATCTTCTTCTTTTTGGCAGAACTTGATCAGTTACTCGAAGATGCACCTTTGCCGTTCATAATGCAGCATGCTGCCAAGATTTCTATTGTTAGGAAAAGAGTTTCTTCACTGAATTCAATTTTAAAATCCATACAAGGGCGGATTGATAATATCGACCGCATGCTGACTATTGGCACCACTCATGGTATATACATGTCTCCAGAGGCTTAATTTTATGGTTATTTTCTAATAATTAGTAAGTGTTACTATTGGGTTTTTTTGTGTGAGTATTTTCCCCTACATATATGCTCTCTCTCTCTCTCTCTTTAGCCAGTATACAAATTTAGTGCCCTTCGCAAAGTTCAAATAACGTTTACATGGCAAAATCTAAAACTATGGCACATGAGCTGATTACTTGGGCGGACCTATTATAATTTTCTCCCTTCTTTTTAACTAAATTTGTGCAAATATTCCATATAGCAGCATTTTTTCTTTTTCTTTTTTGTAGGTCATCTTATTATTATTAGTTTGGGTGTGATAAATATTTGTTTCCATCATCTCAACCGGCTTTTGCTTTAGTGCTTGTGTTGTAGGACCAAGTTGTCACTCCAAAATAAGACGTCCAGGTTTACTAGCTTGGCAGCCATCAATGTTGATTCTTGTTAGCTATATTTCAACCTCAGACTACGGATATTTCATCTACCAAATGAATTATTAAATACTCCCTTCCACTTAAATGCCCATGCAAAACCGTCATTTTGTGCTATATTTGGAGTTAATCATTCCTGTCTTCTATCACTTTCATGCTAATAAGCAGAACTGCATCAGTACATCACCATGTACGACTTCAGGATTCCTCTTAGCCAGCCTGTGACCTGCTTCCTTTTAGTTGGAGAAAGTTCCTTGACATCTTTTCTATTTACTCTACAATTGAGTTTTATCCTTTATGGAAAACTCTTGAACCCACATGCACTTGCCATGAGTGAAAAACTGGGATCAATCACTCTAGCTGGCATGCTGCAGTTCAATCATAGCTTCATCATAATAGTTATCTTATCAGCTAGCCCAGAAGCATCGCGGCTGTGATCTGGCTTGATATGGAAAGTGGTCAGTAAGCATTGTATGCTTAAATCTGCTGCTAGGGCCACTGATGATTTTGACAACCCTATTAGTTATAATATCTACAATATGATTCTAACGAGACCCAAAGAACTTGAGGTACTGTCTCTGCAGAAAAAAGTAAGGCACCCAAGCTGATTAGGATAGACTACTAGACAAACTTATCAGAAGCCCAGACATGTGACAATCTGATTTAGAAAATTGATAACTCACCAAAGTGAAGGCTATGCCTTTGTAGATGACAGGAAAGTCTAGTGTGCATAAGATATTTTGTAACAAGCAGATAAGATAGTGATGAATGTTTGGAATTACTACGGTTAGTAGTTGATAGCTAGTTTTGCCGAGGTACTTATAAAACTATTTTGTTGCAATGATGAATGGCTTGTACCGCAGCTTGCATTAAATTATTGACATCATCTTAATCCTTGTTTGCATTGATTTGAAAAATAATTTGTACCAAAGGGATTGGTTCAAGTGATATATGCTTGATTCCGTTTAAGCAAAGTCTTGGGTTCAAGTGCTTGTGAATGCAAAAATTTCTCTTTGGGAGAGCTAGCCCCACCATGATGTGGATGTTCCCAGCTCGAACAGGATTATTATTTCTCGTGGAGGATACATGTAGTTTATCCAAAAAAATAAAATAATAATTTGTATACTTTAACCTTTTTTTCCATTCAATTCTAACTACCTATTCGTTTTATATGAAATTTTGCAGAGAAAACAACCTCGGAAGGTTCTGGGTGAATTGTCATCAGCTTAATAAACTTCCATTGTTTCCATATATACTATGTAATGCACCCTTAACCCTATAAATTGAATTATTCTTGTTAGGCATATACTTGCTTGGTGTCAGTTAAGGACTTCAAAATTGGCATCCCGTTACTAGTATTTTGCTTGCTTTTGATTATCACTTTCTGTTTGAAAATCTCAAAAAATTCTATCACTTGATTGTATTTACAAGTCATTTTATTCCAAATTTATTATTTTCAATACATGTGCTATAAAGAATTAGTCATCTACTCATCCGTTCCTGACAGCTAGAAACGAAAATAAATGAGGAAAACAGGAACCATAGCACTGTGGGGCTACTTAGCAGGTGCCCCCCATCAAAAGAAGCATGGTTTGGTTGGTAGTAAATTGGCCCCATAATTTTCTTTGAACTTCTGAAACAAAGTGTGCAACCCAGTTCAATTGAACTCTTGGGTCCACCAGGCACAGCACCACCTAGATAGTGATATAGACTCATAATATAAGAAGGCCGTGCATTGTTTTTATATAAATGCAAAAGATTTGAAGGATTTGGTGACACATGCAAATTTTCCCAAGCATTACCAAATCTTGTTACTTGAAACAATTGGCCTGAATCATGCCTTGGTTTGCCGTTGTCGTTTTGTTGCACTACTAGAGAAAAGAAGAAAAAAACAAGAAAAGGCTACATATCTCAGCTCCAACCTTTCTGATTGAGCTACAGTAAAACTGTAAAAGTTTTTGTCCATGCAGGTACTAAATTCCAAAGTGACCCAAACCCCATAGCAGTTTATGGCATACTCTTAACATAGCAACAACAAATTATCCTTCCCAGTCCAGCTCATATAGAGATACTGTGATGTAAGCTCTAGTAGTTCACATGCCCCACACTGTAGTACGTACCTCATGAGAGTAGCATTATTCTGTTTTAAAACATCCATCCATGCACCTGGCCTTGAATCTTATTATGGGGACACTGCAATGTAGATGAAGTTGAGTACACAGAAAATTTCCCATGTCAGCCATATCTTACCTCAAAATTAAGTCAAAAAAGTTATTTTGAAAAGTAGAGTGACTAATTAATAGTAAGTTTCTAATTTAATCATAAAACTTATTAGCCATTTAGCTTCACTATAAAGAAATTCTTTGTTACTTTTGTCTGCCTTCCACATCTTAGCCGTTTGCATTTTAGGAAAAGCACCTCCCTTTCTCATCCCTTTTTGTGCACTGACCCCTAAATACAAGAGAGAGAGAGAGAGAGAGAGAGAGAGAGAGAGGGAGGGCAGAGATGCATAAGATAGAGTTCAAAGGGATTGGAGGAGGGGGAATCTACACAGAGGCCCGTCTGTACATGAGCACGTTCTTTCTTTGATACCCCAAAACCCTCTTCAGCCTTTTGCAGGCTCCTTCATTATTCAACAAACAAATTGATTTAATTTTAACCCAAAAAAAGAAAAAGAAAATCAGATCAATAAGATCATGCTTTAAATACACACACTCCCCAACGGGGCCCTTTGTGGCTTGGTTTAGATAGAATCTTTTAGACTTTGTTGTCTTCCAATATTAATTAACCTGTGGTTGCTTTTCAGCTGATTTACCTCGCAAGATAGAAATGATTGCACGTATCCTCAAACCTATATAAAGTGAATAGAAAGTAATGGCAAAGTTGAGCTCACTAACCAAAACTACTATAAGTCACATCACACTATCCTGGCGTGGAAAACTTCTTCAGTGCTATGGTTTTAGTGTATCTTTTACGCATGTTATCAAATTATTAATAAATAATTTATTTTAAAATTAAATAAGAGAATAATTTGATAAAAAGTAAGATACGTGTTATATTATAAGTGAAAAATATACCAAAAACTGAATCACATAAAATATTCTCCCTGACCAGGGGTTCCATAGTGCAATTAAGAATCCAAATTAATTACCACAAACTTGGCAAGAATCCAGGAAGGTTTTATGGGGCAAGAATCCTCAAACTATTTGGATTTAGGGAATCATTATGGGGCACGCGACTCTACAAGCGAAAAGACAAAACTACCCTTCTTGCGCTGCTGTATTGGGACACACCAAACAGACAGTGGCACAGCATGACTATCAAAAGATGTGATGGTGGGTACATCCATTTCCACGTTGTCACAAAGCCCAAACTCTAATGGGAACAAATGTGATGATAATTGAGCATACACTTAGGACTGGTCAAACACCACACCCTTATCATATCATATCTTATCAAATGCATTAAAAATCGAGCATGAATGGAAACACCTAAAAAAATGAGTAGGCTCATGGCTGCAAATGCTGCCTAGGTAGCTTAGGTTAGGTTTTTTATATGTAGCTCGGTTTAACAAGTAGCTTGAAAGTTAAAAGTGGAACACGGATCAAAAAATCACTCTTCCTCAAGTTTTTTATTCAAATATAACGCGAATGTTATTTTTCAATAGTCATGTGGACAAGTTCCATGAGCACACGAACTTAATTTGTTGATGTGTTACATTTTTAGTGGATATTAAGTATTAAGTTTGCTACTTGGGATAGCGAACTTGGTTGAAATGCATAATTTTTATGTATTGCAACCAAGTTCGCTACTCCAGGTAGTGAATTTGGTGTCTACTAAAAATGTGACACGTCAATAAACTGAATTCGCTATAGTGCTCAACGAACTTACCCAGGTGACATATTGAGAAATAACACTATTCGCATAGCATTTGAATTAAAAAACTTAATGAACACTGATATTTTGATCACCGTTCCGACGTTTGGTATGCGTCATTCTCCAAGATTCCCAAGAAACTACTTTTTTTTTTTAAATTTTCGAATATCATCATAAACATAAAAATTATATTTTTGAAAATCAAGATTCTCAGATAAATTTTTTTTTTTTTCTACCAAACACCCTCAACGTATAGCAGCATGCCTCTATGCACCGGAACAAAACAAATAGATTCTTGGGTGCAAGCTATTTTATGTGCCTATGACACAAAATGAGTAAAATGTCAAATCAAATAGTAGGTGTTAGTTCATACTCTTAGAAACAGCAACAAAACCCAATGCATGCGCGCAATTTGAAAGATGGGACGGGACTCGGCACGACAAAACCCCGGTACTCTGGTGGACAACGACAACTGAATTTTGTGCAAAACGAACTCACATGTCTGGACCAAATTAATTGATTTTTTATACGAAACTTGCAAAATAAATTATGATGGTGACTAGTAGTCCAATCTGAGGAGAAATAAAAAAAAGATGGATTTGTATTAAGAACTCTTCCTTTAGTAAAATGATTTTATTAGTATCATGTCACATAATCTAAAAAATTTTCTCTACACACATAATTAAGAGGTGAGGTCCACATTTTTTTTTCTTCATCATTTTACTTTCTCTCTCTTCTTTATTGTGAGAGTAGAAAAATTTTCTTATATCATGTTACATTATTCTTATAAAACCCTTAGCAAAAACACTATCTTTAAGAGGGGTAAAGATATTTATTAAAAAAAAATATATGTCATTTAAAAAAATATAAAATTATATTATTTTAAATAAAAGTAAGAGATAGATAAATGAGAATAGAATAGATAAAAAAAAATAAGATTGTACATCTCACCTTTTTGTAAGTATAAAATAATACAAATTGTATCATTTAAAAAGATAAATATTTTTTCCTATTTATTAATGGATTTATAGGTGTTCTAAAAATGCTATAATCTAACGTTGCGTTATAGGGTTTTTTTGTTTTTGTACAAGTATAATAGGGTTGTTTTAAAATTGCTATAATCAAACATCGTAGAACGAAGAGTGAAGGCAAACAGAAATAACAATAGAAGTAAAATCTGCGATCAATTTTATATAATTAAGGAATTTCACTTCAAATAAAAGAAGGTAGAGCTTTTCGAAAAGACAGATTTATTTTATTCAATTTAATAATAATAATAAACGAAACACTGACAATCTTATTAAAACCGAATTTAAAAAATAGTTTGTGCCGTTCCATCTGTTACATTAAACCTAACAGGAGACTGTTCATTTATTTATTTAAACAATTAAACCCCGCTCTCTTTCACATGGGTTTGGCTTTTAAGGTAGCCAGGTTCAAAAAGTATGGCAACACGTTAACCAAGTGGCTTTAGCATATTTATATCCTTCAAAAGAAATTGATGTGTGATCACTATATCTCCTTGCTTGGTGCCTGCATTTTATTTTATTTTATTTTTTTAGTCCTAAAGCCCTACCGGGTTTGGGTTTGGTAATTAATGAATCAACAGAGGCAACTAATCACATAGGGTCTAATCACAAGTTAATTCCACGAGCATATCATTTTTACGTGACTCGGTCCTGCCCATAGTACCACGGAACTAAAAACCATTTCTATCACTCTGGGGGAGAATACGACGGGTCCAAAGTCATTGAAATTATAAACTTATCCATTTCTCAATTATACACTTGGTTAGCAAGGTACCAAATTGCTTGCAGCAAACAGGACATGGACCTACCATATCTAATTAGGGATACATCGATACTTCAAGAAATATGACGTACATCATGTTCGATAATACTCTAACAGGCATTGCAAAAATTTAAAATAAAAAAATTCCAAAATTACGTTGCATTGCATTTTTAATTCTAACTATTAAATTAGTTTAATTACAATTATAATTTTATTAAATTTAATATAAATATTTGAAATATCTCTTTCTTTGAAAATCAATGAGTATTATAAGTTTAATTTTATTTTTTGTTAAATTATTAAATATTAAATATAATATATACTATATAAATTATAAATATTATTTAATATTAAATATTTTTTAGAATTAACATCATATCCGTATGAATATGGACGTAATATAGGATGGACCCATACGGGGATAATCAAATCTGGGAGATCTTTTCACTTCAATGGGAGAGGGCAAGGGAAGAAATTCATCAAATAAAACGTTGAGGACAAAGATGACAAAAATTGTGGGTGTTCTTTTCCACCCATCCACCAAAATATTGGACGCACAGAAAAGGTAAACTTAATAGTGAAATCGTGTTAAATTATTCATTGAAGTATGATAATCCGTTCTGGGAACACATCCCATGTCCCCAATCAAAGTACACATTTTGATTAAAAGAAAAGAAACTTGTCCCACCCAATTGAATCTTCTATAAAGGGTACACACTGAAGCTCAGGGGTGGACCACCGACCACTCAGCCAGAGAGTTATTCCACCCCATTAACGTCCCAAGAAATATTAATATAATATTAATATATGCATGCATATATTTTATATATTGATTTGTCATTTAGCTAAAATAAATAAATAGTACTGAATTTAAATGCAATCGGAGAGTAAAAATTAAAATAGTAGTAGACATGAAGTTTTGGGATCAGACTGACGTGCAATAAAATAATTCAGCAGAGCTGGCGCCTCTGTTTGAATCTTTAGCATCATTTCCCAAAACTCCACAGTATAAAATAAACAACAAAGAAAATCAATTTAAAAATAAAAAAAAGTTCAATAAAAAAAAAAAAAGAGAGAAGAAGACAAACTAGATAAGCTCAACATGATACTGCCACAGATCTCGAAATTTTTATATTAAAAAAAGATAAATTCTCACTATTAAATTAGGAAAAAGCTAAATAGAAAGAAAATGTAGAGATTCCAAATCTTTGAGGTCAGAAAATGACAAACAGCAGCCAGGAAATTGCACTGAAAAAAGCTCAACTAAGTTAGAAAAACAGGAACTTGATGATCCATCATCAACATTATCTCATCTAAAAATCCCACTCTGCGTATTTACATTAATCAAAAGCTTGTTAATCAAACAAAAGAACAAAGTAACCCCCAATCAACAATGTCCTCCTGCAATATTTTCATTCCAAGATTAGAAAACATGAACATAAATTAAGTGGCAAAAAGGGCACACAAAAAAAGCCTAATTAACCGTTACCCTCTCTCTCTCTTACTCTGCTTTTTTTAAGAGTGTTTATGTTAATTCCGGTCACAACGATGCCTACCCTTGTTGTTGCCACCTCCGTTACCAACCGAACCTTCTTTCTTCTGCGGAGAAGAAAAAAGCTGACCGAACCCAAAAACCGAACCGGATTTTGAACCGCCCCGAAGGGAACAAACAGGGACATTGAGAACCGGAGTGACCCTAACGTTGGCTGAGTAGGACCGTTCCATTCCCCTATGCTTGAATCGTGGTCCTCCATTGAAGCTGCTAGGGCTGCTCGAGCTTCGTTCCAAGCTCTGAAACACTATCTTCCCAGAAGAATTCATTCTGGGGCTATCCACTGACACTCCCCTGCATCCTACCGCACCGGATGATTCCTTCGGGATCGGACTCCTCCCGGCCCGGTTATTCGGGTACTGATCCATTTTGTTGTCGAAGGAACCCGCCCTCGGCTTCACCAACCGCACTCTAGGGTTAGGGTTTCTGTGGATTGAGATCTGAATCGGGTTCGGGTTATGGTTCGGGTTCGATTTGTCCGAATCGAGCGAGAGCCTGGGGAGATCGTCGTGCTCGTGACCTGAGGAAGAGGACGAGAGCGAGAGACGAGAAGACATTGAAACGGATTCGCAGTCCGAATCCTTCAACAGAGGAAGGCTCAGTGAAGCGTTTTCCGACGGAAACGGCGCCGGTTTGGAACTGCTCCGGTGGAGAAAGTGCTTCAGCGATTTGGTCGAAGAAGAAGTAGACGACGACGAAAACGACGTCGTCTTCTGCGAATCGCACTTCGACGACGTTCCGTTTCCGTTTCCGTTTCCGTTCGCGTTCAGGTAGAGCTTCTTCAGCCCAAGCAGCTCCTTCCACCGGCTGGAACACCGAGGAGCCTTCGGCGAAAACAGGTATGGATCGGAACCTGAGCCGGAGCATCCGGAGCCGCCGCCTTTGCCGGAGGATACGATTCTCCGGTACGATTTGGAATTCTCCGGCGACGACGAGGTGTCCGGCGAAGCCGCGGTGGAAGGCTTGAGCGAGGAGAGATGGAGCGGTACGAGCTTCCCGTCGGAGAAGAGCTGATCGGCGGGGAGCATGGCGACGGGATCTTCGAGTCGGAACTCGAAATCGGGTTCCGGATCCGGGTTGGAGGGGTTGGATCCGGAAGAGTCATGACTGAAGGAGACGCGAGGGCTGAGCCAGGCGTAGGAGGGGAAGTTCTCCGGCGACATTCCGATGTTGTTAACGCACGCTGAAGCCATTGTTTGTTAATCATGCACAGTTAACACTAACCAAAAGGTTAAGAAGAAAATAGTAAAAGAAATAAAGAGAGGGATCTCTGATATTTTTTATTGATAGGGTTTTTCTATGTGTTTCTGTGAAGTTGTTGTTGTGAAGTGGAGAAAGAAAGAGTGTGTGTGTATATGGTGGCTGCTACATGGAGGCACATATATAACAGATTTTGCACCTAGGGCCACGTGTCTATCACCCTCTCTCTCTCTCTTTTTTCTTTTTTCTTTTGTAACCCTAGATTTTATCATGTGATAGCTTGATTATTAATATGTATAAAGAGTAATATTTGTCATTAATGATAAAAAAGATTGTTCTTGCTTATTTAAGCAAAGAAAAAGTTTATTTGATTGACAAAACTGATTCCGATGCAAGATTGTTTCTTTCTATATGAATATAAATAAAAATATTATTTATAAAAGAGTTAATTCTCACATATTAAAAAAATATAATATGAGTTTATAAAAAAAAAAATTATTCGTAATTATTTAAAGATGGATCAATGGTGATAAAGAAAAATAGAAAAAATATAAAAATAGATAATTATAAAATTATAATAATTAGTTTATCTTTTTTTTAAATAAATTTACCTTTAGGATTTTTTCATATAATTATAAAATTATAATTGTAATTATAAAATTACAATTAGGATTTTAATTTTATAAAATTATAATAATTAGTTTATCTTTTTTTATCATTTTTCATATAATATAGAAATAGATAAATTATAAAATTATAAAATTATAATTGTAATTTTTTCATATAATCATATTATTATTTTTTAACCTAAAAATATCCATTTTGATGCTCCCAAGTCCCAACATGATTCAATTCACAATTAGGATTTTGCTATTACACAGTCGAGCTATTTAATAACTACCTTTAAAGGCCTGATTTTTTTTATATATATATGGGTCTATAATTAATTTAAAGATAACATACCAGAGAAATGAGTTAAATTATACGTTGTAAAAGGGTATTTTTGACGCGTTTTAATTAATAAATTAGAATTTAAATGAATTTGAAAGGAAAATACCGTATGAGAAATAAGAAATAAAATTAAAAAATTGAAGTAAATGAATTCAGACAAACTTAAATGGAAAAATATCACATTTAAAGCTTAGTCTTTTTTGTTCTATTCAAATTAAATGACTCTTAAACGGTTTGAACGGCCAAAAATGCTTAAATGGTCAATATTCAAACCCACCCCAAGTATAAAAGGAAAAAAATATGCCCAAATAAAATCATTAACTCAATTTCACTCAGAATATTCTTCCCCTTCGAAGATTTTTCATTTGATTGTTGAAATGCTTTTAATATTTGACCTGTTAGCCTCTATAAAAATTATAAGTTTGACCTAACATATATTTATAAAATAAAATTATTTGTCTAGACCAGTTATCCTATTTAAGTCTATTAAATATTCAAAAATTTAAAAATAATTAAAATAATTTTATTTTATTATTCTAAATTATTAAAATAATAATGTTATTCATTTTATTTAAAATAAATAATATGATATAGGTCGCCCTATAGGTTTATAGGCCTAAGATGTACAAAAAAGCATATAGCATGTTTTCTAAATAATTTTTAAAAAAAACTTAGACTTATTCTATTTAACTAATTGTAATAGGTCAAATATAGCCTGATATAGACTAGGTCGTAGGCTCATATAGGTCGGTCTAGCTAATTTACACTCTTAGACCCTAGTCTTCCCTACAAATATTTTTTTTCATACAAATAAAATAAGAACATGTTAGTCTTCATAGCAACTAATCTATGAAAAAAATTGAGGGCACACACCCCTCACTTTAGCTTCTAATTGTCTAAAATTCAAACCCAATTATGGAGTACTCCTCCTTGACCACTAGGACAATCCTATAAGTTATAGTTTTCCGCCAACTTATTTTTCGGTATCATAATGGTCATTTAATTTGCCATTTAAGAGACAATGGTTGAATCAAAACAAGTCACTCAATTGGGTACAAGGAGTGACTTAGATGGGAAGCAAGGTTGAATCTAGCAAAGGGTTATTGTAATGTTAAAATTCAAACTCGTTGAAAAATACTTGTTAGGAGGATAGTTGTGATACTTGCATAAAAATTATTCTCAAAACCAAAAGGTGTTAAAAAAAACCTACTTCTCTTAATGACATTTCGTATATTAAAGAATGCAAGTATTGCTTAAAAGTATTAAACAAATAAAAAAAATTAATGTGTATAGTTATTTGATTTCATATAAATTTGTATGAAACAAAAATTCATGTGATGCATTCTAAATTTTGAAATACATCTTACAAAAATGTGTGAATTACATAATACATAGTTTTATTGTAGTATAATATACATTCTTTAAATTTAAATTTGATGTAATTCTTTTACTAGCACATTATTAAAAGTTTTAAAATTGCCAAATTATTGTTGTAAAGGTCAAACTTTTAAATGGCCTAATAACTTATAATTAGATTATATTATATAGAACTTTTATACTGACAGTGTATTAAATTTCAGTTTCAATTTCAATTTGTTTTCGTAGGTACATGCATTGCTTAATAGAAACATGTGGCAATTTTATTTTATGATGTACTAAAGAGGTGTTAAAAAGTACATGCAATATTTTAATAAAGAGTTTTATGAATGTTATATTACAAGATATTTTTTGTGTCATGTTACTCTAATAAATTTGATGTGGGTCCCACTTAAGAGAAAAAAAAATGGAGCCATCCTTTTTGTGTCACCGACAGGAGGAATATAATGTTTTGTTACAGGACATTTATAAAACCCTTTAATAAATAGATGAAACTTTTAATTATGTATAATAATCACCTCCTGTTCTGGCCGGCCCACATCTGTAGGCCCAATCAGTTGGTTCCAATATCAAAGCCCATACCTAAAACCTTCTAGAAGGTACCCATGAAGAGCCATAGAGGCTCATCACTGGGTGGTTTCCCTTTTCCTCTTTTTTTTGCTGCCCCTGCTCATTAGGCATAGGGTTTAGCATGCCTAGCCTGGAAAAAGGCTATATTAGCTAGGTGACAACCCTATGCTAGCTAGGTGACGCCCTATGCTTTCTCTCTCCCACTCTTGAGAGGAATTTTTCCTCTCTAAATACCCCCTCACACCTTTAAGGAGCATCATCTTCTTCTACACTTATGTTGTTACTTTGCCTCAGAGCCACTCTAGCCATCCACACACAGTCTCCCTTTATACACCTACATGGAAAACTTTAACAAAGTCTTGGTCTATATCATAGCTGCTAGAAGTATCCCTATATCAACATACTACACCCTCCAAGCATCGGCGGACCTGCACTATTGCCCCTGTGGGCAAGTGCAGACAGTAACTTGCTAAAGTAATTAATTTTTTGTTTTTTTTTCTATTAAAAAGTTGTAGCTGACCTTAAGTTTTAGGCATATGTCACCACTCAACATGCAAAATGTGCAACATAAAATGAAGAGAGCAAAGCTGCAACTGACCTTAAGTTTTAGACATGGTTTTCCTTGTACTATGTTTCTTTATCGGTATGATAAAGACCATCTAAATGCAGCTGTGGTCACCAGTACTACTAAGTACCCATCTGTTAATGGTATAGTTAACTTAGTTTAGATTTACTAGGTTGTTACTTTCTCTTGTCTTAAGGGTTGTGTTGTGGTCATGTACCCAAAATTCACATGTTTTATTCTTATATTTAACCTTTTGCAAATGCAAGATAAGACTATCTATTGTATACCCTTCCATGAATCATGTACATGGCAAGAGTTTTTTTTAAAAAAAATTCAGAGGCCCAGCCCTCGAACTCCTGCCATAAATGTGCATACACAAATAAAATTTTCTAGGTCCGCCACTGCCTCTAAGGGTACATCTATGAACACTTGCTTTTGTGAAAAGTGCAAATAAGCATTGCATGGGCAAAAGTCCTAAAACTAAGCAAACATGGAAGAAAGCTACTAACGTGGAGCCCGCCACTTACCAAAAGTAAAATTGACAATTCAAACCTTCAATTAATTTCTTTGTGGACCCGCCATCTTCAAAAGCAAACATGAGATAAAGTCACTAATGTAGAAGGCCAACAACAAAGATACACTGACAATAACCAACCTATTTGCTCTGCACACCAGGATCAAAGATGCTTAGATGACCGGTCTCCACATTGACAAGATAGCCAGCCCTCCATGCTGCATATCTGACCAGCAAATAGGATGACCAGCCCTTCATGTTATCCATCCGACCAGCCAACAAGATGGCTAACCATTACATTGCTCCATCCTCAACATTCAACCTTCAGCATTTACACGTTGAGTGTCCAACAACACTCACATGGTCAATAACATGAAGATCGCCCCCGGAATACAAATTAGATGAAGACCGCCCCCTAGGATACAAATGAGATGCAAACCGGACCCCCGGGATACAAATGAGACAACTCTTAATTTCGGGTGAAAAAATACCCCCGAAGACTGAGCCAGTCTTCACCCTCAGTTACTCTATTATGGGCGGAAAGAAGCCCTCAATTACACTAATAACTGGGATGATTCTCATCCACGAAAAATAAGAAGATCAGGCCGGTTCTAACCCTCGAAAAATAGGAAGACTGGGCCGGTCCTGACCCTCGGTAACATCTTTTACCGAGATAGTCCCCACCATCGGTTAAAGTACTAGATGGCCAAAGACACATCTAGGCACTTATTTAAAATGCTAGCATGTTAGCTGTTTGCAGGATAATGATCGAACAAATAAGAACTTAACTACATATCTTTTATTTCAATCGGCACATTTGTTATTGGTGAATGTCACTTTATTACATCATATGATTCTGTTTTAAACCTCTGGATCTTTCAAGGTTATTAAGATCCTCACCTACGTGGCTCCTTGATTCACCATGGACCCACCAACTTATTCCTGCAATCAAATCCAAAGGATAATATCCATAAAGAAACACTGACTGCTCATTTCGCACACTCTCTTCAACCAAGGCAACATTCACCTCTCGAGATTTACCAACAAGCTGGTTCCCGTATTTTTCTGATGAACCATCATTCTTTGGGCGATTTCAATATCAGCAACCTTATAACCTTAACTCTCAACTTATTAACTCATAACGGTCACTC